CCGATCTGCAGGAAGAACGTCCGATCTGCAGGAAGAACGTCCGATCTAGAGGAAGAACGTCCGATCTGGAGGAAGAACGTCCGATCTGGAGGAAGAACGTCCGATCTGGAGGAAGAACGTCCGATCTGGAGGAAGAACGTCCGATCTGGAGGAAGAACGTCTGATCTGGAGGACGTTCCACCACCAGCTGCTGGTTTCAGGACACATCTGGAGTCAAAGTTTCAGAGTCAGAGTTTCTTTATTTGTCTTTCCACCTCATGTGGTGGAAAGAAATTGTGTTCACAGGGTCCCAGTTACACCCAACAATAAAATGTAAAAGGAAAACAGTAATAAGATCTAATAAGATCTAATAAGATCTAATAAGATCTTCCTCTTCAAGAATCAGTTTTATGTCTGAAATCATGTTTGTTTAGATTTTGTTGACGTGGGCTTGTGTTCTTGTGAGCGGTCAGTATCTTACCTGCAGTAGACAACAGTCAGAATTTGGAGAATCATAGAACTTTTCCTTTAAAAGATAAAATAACAGAAAGTGGAAAAACTGAGACTCTGAAGTGGGTCTATCAATCAATCAATCAATCAATCAATTTTATTTATAAAGCACACTTCATACTAAAAGCAGCTCAAAGTGCTGTACAGAATTACAGTCTACAGCTGATGCGGCTCCGCTGATGGAGTCTGCGTGTGTTTCCTACAAACAGCAGCAGCTAAAGAAACTGAATGAGCTAAAGTTTGCTGAAGAGGCAGGAAACGAGTTTTTAAAGCTGAAAGAATCAAAACTCTAGCTGAAAGCCCAAAGTAGCAGAACCGTTGCCAAAAGAAAAATGAACCAAAGTGGTAGGTACAAGCTAAAAGTAGCAAAAGGCTAGCTAAATGTTTCAAAACAGTAAGTAAAAACAAACAAACAAAAGCTAAAGGCTAACTGACAACTAAAAGTAACTGGTAGCTAAAATCTAAAAGTAGAGAAACAGCAGCAAAATCTTAGGTATAAGGCTGAAGCAGCAAAACGCTAATAAAACGTAGCCGAACAGTAGCAAAAAGCTAAGAGTAGCAAAATAGCTAAAAGTGAATAATCTTTCTTTCTGTAGAACGATTGACTCATGGATGGAAATGACCTTTGACCTTTCCCAGACTGACGGGCAGCTGCTTCTGAGGTCATTGCTGATGTGTTTCCACCCTGACGTTGTGTTACTATGCTCCAGGTCAGGAGGTGGAGCCACTGATGAGGATCAGAACATTTGATCCTGAATGAACTGGTTTTTGTTTTTGGACTTTGGTTTGGATTAAATAACAACACGATGAATGACGACACGTCTTCCTGCTCTTCTGTGGACACTTTTGAATATTCATCAGTTCTTTACAATCTGATTCATCTGATTCACTTCAAATGAGTCATTCAGTCAAGTGTGAACAGACAGAAGAGGGGTCAGCAGACAGGATGAAGACGCACAAAGACCTGGGAGAAGGTCCAGGCTCACGGCTGCAGGGTGTGGGCGAACGTGTGAGGCGCTGACGTCCGACCCAGAAGTGACCCACCAGAACACAGAGCAGCTCTTTGTTCTGGACGCTCTCTGAACTCATCTCATTCAGCCGCTTCGCTCACGTTTAACGGTTAAAAACTCCAACAAACCTGATTCATGAAGGACGGGACTCATTCCTCAGGACCTCAAGGGTCAGCTTGGCCCAAGGGCAGCGGCAGGGTTACTCACTTCTGGATGTTTGCTCAGTGATTGTGTCTTCAGTGTTTCCTTAAAGGATCAGTTGGAACAATAGATCTTAGTGGATAAAGAATAAATGAATGGAAAAACTTGAGCCTTTTAAATGTTTGCTCAAGAATCGGTTTTCCTCGGCATTTGATCCGTGCAGAGTCTGAACCAGTTGGAGACGACTGAATTCTTGTGCGTGTCTTGTTGTTAATTTTCTTGTTTCCTGAGTAGCACAAGATATATTTTTATTTTTTACTTAAACGAAAATCACTTTGGTCAGCTTTTGTTGTTTTTATGTGCAATGGACATAAATTGACATTGTTTGAGTTTTGAAGAAAAAAAAATCAAAATGGATGAAAAATATTTTGAGATTAAAGGATAAAAAATAAATAAACAACAAACAGACATAGGATGATTAATATATTTTCACAAGTATTTTCTAATGAAGAAACTATATCTCAGCAAAAACATGAGAAACGGTATATGACCTGTAAAAAACTTCTTTAATCAGCAAACAACAACAATAATAATAATAAGTAGGTTTCACATGCATCATATCGCAAACTTGGAAGTTTAAATTGGATTTTATCAACGCTCCCGCTGTAGAAGTCGTTTGTCCCTGTAGACTTTCCGTAGCTTCCGCTAATAGAAAATGTCGCAGTAAATTTATAAATTTTCGCAATTTGTTCATCTTTTTTTTTTCACCAAGCCCTGCAGAATACGCCCGTAAGTAACAGCTGAAGTTATCACAACAGGTCTGTCTTTGATAAGAACTTTGAAACGTTTGTTTTGTGTGTAAGTTCAGTGATAAACACGATGCTAATTGCGTTAGCTTCCCTATGGCGTTTCCAACGTAAAGTTAGCATTTATAACATGCTAATTGTTGGACAGCTGCTTGTCGTTTAAAGTGTTTTTGATGTAAGTTGTCTTAAAATTTCCACCATTAGTACTAAGTTATTTTATAATTTTCTTTTGAAAGTATTTCTGGGTCCAAACTTTTGAAACTTTTATTGTGAAGGTGTAAAGGAAGTTCTGTTTGTTTTGAATTCTTGGGCTGGTTTTTATTTTATTTTTTAATTTTTAAAAGTGCATCTACAATAATAAATACAAAAACAGGTTCAACAGGGATTTCTTAACATTTTGAGTTGAAATTTGAAAGTCAGATTTTTTTTTTTATTCCTCATATGTTAAAACTAATAAATTAAATTAAAATCACATTTAAAGACCTTTCAGATGATACAGATCAGGAATCTGAGTTAAAACCTGGAAAATTACTGCAATTAAAATGTGAAAAAAGAACAATTAATATAAACAAGTTGTCATTTGTCATAATCTTTTACATATTTAGTGAGAATTGCACTAAAACAAGTTGTTAGAATAATAATGTTGATTTATATTAAATAATAAAACTTTAAACTAAAGACTGAGTTTGTTGTTACAGAAACTTAAGTTTAATTTTTATCATCTCTGTTCACACACTTTGTTGTTTAGAAACAAAACTTGATGATTTTTGTTTGAAACATGAACAAACCGTCTGTTTTAATGAATATAATATACCTATTTATATTTATACACATATAAATAAGAAGTAAATAATAACTATGACGGATGGAATTCTGGGTATTTTTCCTGTTTATGAGTGATGCAGGTTATAATTATTTCAACCCACCAGCCAATAAAAATAAATATTTATTATGGGATGAGCTCAGGGAGGAAAATCACAAACTCGGTGTTTAAACCAAAACTGCAGACGAGTCACAGAAAAGTTTAAAATATTAAGAATCACTAAACTGACGATGTTATACAAACATATAGTTTTTTAAGTTAATATGACGTTATTGTTGTTTCCGTCATGAGTTGTAGCTTCTGTCAACCACAATCCTTTTGTTATTGGTTGTAAAAGTTTTCATAATTTGAGTTTTTGTTTTGGTTCCTAGTCAAATTATTTGTTTTGACCAATTTCCACTTACAATAAACAGCTGAAGCAAGAACCGTACGGTGAACGTGAAGGTTTGGATCTGTCTGAGGAAGGTTGAATATTTTCTAAACCCCCAAGAATTTTAAAACAGACATTTTAGCTCCTGGTTCCAGCCACTGGCTGAAGCTAATACGTCTTTAAATGACAAATATGTTAAGAGGTTCTTATTGTTTACCTGCAAAAAACAGCCGAAGTGACGAAAAGTAGGTGAAGGACGGCGTTGTCCGTGGACGAGGCGATGGAGACGGAAAAGTTACGACGTTTTATGGATCGATATTTATGTTGGATTTGAGTCGAGGACCGAGAGGAAGTTTGTTTACATTTAGAGCGTACATGCATCCATCCATCATCCATCATCCATCCATCATCCATCCATCATCCATACATCCATCCATCATCCATCATCCATACATCCATCCATCCATCCATGCATCCATCCATCATCCATCCATCCATCATCCATCCATTATCCATACATCCATCCATCATCCATCCATCATCCATCCATCCATCATCCATCCATCCATCC